CCGGCATAGTAGATCATAGGGTTGTCTGATTCAAAATGGCCAAAACTGGTCCATTTCAGCTCACTAATGCAAACATATAGGAGCTCTGGTGTCATAGTGCCTAAGGCACTTGACTGCTAACCAGAAGTCTGCTGGTTCAAGCCCACCAGCCACTCCTTAGAAGGAAGGTTGGGCAATCTACTTCCATAGTGACACCACCTCAGAAACCCAAGGAGGAGTCACTATGAGCTGGGGCCAACTCGGTGGCACATAACAGCAACAATACCAAACATATGTTATTGTTGTTGTTATGTGCCGTCAAGTTGGACCCGATTCATAGCGACCCCTCCTTCGGTTTCCAAGGCAGTATCACTACGGAAGTAGATTGCCCCATCTTCCTTCCAAGAAGTGGCTATCGTGACCTAATATTTCCTATCCTGTTTCTTTTTAAGGAAATGCTGTTTTCCATCCACATAATTGATTTCACAATCCACTAATGGGTTCCAACACAGCTGAAAAGCACAACAATGGGAGAACAGGTCAATTGGAGCATAGTGACCTCTTAGGTGGCAATAGTGGGCCATGAAGCTAGGCCAACTGTGGTGGATGTGGTGCCCACCATGAAACCTGTACCAGGCAAAACAAAACACGACACCTGATGCAACTTGATGTCTAGAAATAGAAAAATTATCCTTCAGCTGTGGCATTTGTGATGTATCTCCAAAGACATTCCTGGGCATTTAAGTGTCAGGTTACATTGCCCAAAATTTATTTATTTTTTCCCCATATACAGAGCTGTATGTTGGTTCTGGAGATGCCCTGAGACTTAACTAGCAGCCTAGATGAGCTGGGATGTAGGCTGACAAAGGACAAGTCAAAAATTGTAGACAATCCAATCAGGAGAGGAACTTTTGTGCCTTTGTGCAGGGATTACAAGATATGGGAAGGGGTACGTAAGGCATGATTTGGGAAAACAAATGTTTTCCCAGATGCAGCATCTAGGACAGATACCTGGATGGATTTGCTGAGTTTCAGCCAACCACGTTCTCTGGCTCGTTACCGTAAGCAGACTTCTGTTTCTCTCTGGATGTGTATACTTTTCGTGATGTAGGAAGTTTCAGGAACAGATGTATAGACCTAAAACAGAAAATGCCAACCTTCTTTCCAATTTATTTTCTTTTTAATTGAAACATAATTCCTATACCATAAAATTCATCCTTTAAAAGTATACAAAACCAAAAAACCCAAACCCATTCATCGCCATCAAGTTGATTCTGAGTCATAGTGACCTTATAGGACATGGTAGAACTGCCCCATATGGTTTCCAAGGCTATAAACTTTATGGAAGCAGACAGCCACTTCTTTCTCCCAGGAAGCAGCTGGTTTGAACCACCGACCTTTGGTTAGCAGCCAACCACTTAACCACTATCCCACCAGGGATCCTTTAAAGTGTCCAAGTCAGTGGTTTTAAGTATATTTACAGAGTCATGCAGCCATCAACACTATCAAATTCCACACCATCCCATCACCCCAAAAAGAAACCATGTACACATCGGGAGTTGTTGCTCATTTTTCCCCACCCGGTCCCTAGCAATCACTAATCCACTTTCTGTCTCTATGTTGTTGTTGTTGCTGCCAGGTACTATCTAGATAACTCTAAGTCATATCAACCCAATGTGACAGAGTAGAACTGGCCCGTAGGGTTTCCTAGGCTGTAATCTTTATGGAGGAGCTCTGGTGGCATACTGCCTAAAGCATCTGACTACTAACCAGAAGGCTGGTGGTTCAAACCCACCAGCCACTCCTGGTGAAGGAAGGTTGGGCAATCTACTTCTGTAGTAATACCACCTCAGAGACCCAAGGAGGTGTCACTGTGAGTCGGATCCGACTTCATGGCAGTGAGTTTGGTTTTAATCTCTATGGAAGTAGATTGTCAATCTTTCAGTTAGCCACCAGGCGCTTAACTATTGCACAACCAGGGCTCCTTTCTGTCTCTATATTTTCCAGTAATAGAGAGTGTTTCACTGTTATTCATAAGGTTCTCACTGGACAGTTCTTTGAGAAGTGCATGGCCCCTTCCCTCTGGAGTCTGTCTTAGTCTGGAAGCTCTGCTGAAACCTGTCCACCAGGGTGACCCTGCTGGTATTTGAGATACTGGTGGCATAGCCTCCAGCCTCACAGCAATGTGCAAGCCACCAGAATATCACAAACTAGCAGATGAATGGTGAATAAACTTGCCTATCACATATAAATTGAATGATTCAGTATGAAATTCTTTGTGTCTGGCTTCTTTCACTTACTATATAGTGCTTTCAACGTTCATCCATATTGTAGCATGTATCAGTACTTCATTTTTTATGGGTCAGTAATATTCCATTTTATGAGTTGTTGTTCCTGCCTGGAGTCTGTTTACTTTCTTAAATGTGTACTTTAACACTTTTGATTAAATTTAGGAGGATTTTCAGACCTTATTTCATCACATTTTCTTTCTTGTGGAGTATTAACTTGTCTACTTCCATTCCTTCCTCCCTTACTCTCTGTCTTCCCATTCTGGGACTCTGATTATGAATATGCTATAGGCTTGATGGTGTCCCACAGATTACTGAGGGTCTGTTCGCTTTTCTTCATTCTTTGACCTTTCTGTTCATCAAAATAGATAATCTCAATTGAACTATCTTCAAGTTTGCCGATTTTTTTCTTTCGCCTGCTTAAATCTGCTGTTGAGCCCTTTTAGTGATTATTTTTTTTATTCTTATTATCGTTAATATACTTTTCAACTCCAGAGTTGTGGGTGGGTCTCTTTTCATGGTTTTTATCTCTCTATTGACATTCTCTGATGAGACATCATTCTCACTCCTTCCTTTTGTTCTTTATACATGGTTTCCTTTAACTACTTGAAAATACTTTTAAAGAATTGATTTAAAATCTTGCTCTAGTAACTCCAACATCGAGGCTTCCACAGCCAGTTTCCACTGACAGCTTGTTTTCCTGTGTATGGATGATAGTTTGTTTCTTCGTCTCCTAATTCTTTGGTGGTTGTTTTCGAAAACTGGACATTTTTAAGAATATAACGTGGCAATTCTTTGCCCAGGTATGTTGTTACTGCTGTTTGTTTGATTGAATTGTTTTCCTAAATTAATTCTTTAAAGTCTTCACTCTTTGTCATGTGTGGCTACGAAGATTGCTAGGTTAGCTTAGAGGTCAGCTGGTTGGACAGAGATTTCATTAGATTCCTGAATCCAGTAAGTCTCTCTGTCTTTACTGAGCGGCCCTGTGTATGGGTCATGGCACACCTTCAACACTCAGTGAGGTAGTTTATAACTTCCTGCTTGCACAGACCTTCAAGGTCAGCCAGAGGGGAGCTTAGGACCTTCTCAGGCCTTTCCTCAGCCATGTACACAGGCCCGTATGCATGTGGCCTTTAGATTTTCAGGAACAGATTGAAACTATTCAAAGTCCCATGTGAATATATGATTTCTCATCTCATTCTCATTCATCTCAAACCCGCGTATGGACATCTTATCTCATTTAAGATTTTTGATCAGCCTGTTGTTTGCTCCAGTGTCTATGACCTTAGACAGCCATGATGGGCAACAATTACGTCTGATAATTTTCTACAAACGCCCTCAAGGGAAGGCTGCTTCCCCTGGGAGTCAGGGGAACTAAAGACAGCCTTGGAAGTCGGGTCTTCTAGAACAGCACAGTCAGGTCAAATAATGGTGGTTCTTGGGAACAGGCTTGGAAGCAGCCCCAGTCCTCTTCTACTCTGTCCAGTGGCTGCTGGTTCTCATTGTGTTCGCTGGCTGTTGGCTTTTAAGGGTCTCAGGAAGCTGATGAGAAAGGGATGGAAGGAGCACAAGTTAACACTTCACAAAGATCGTTACTCTTAATGAGATCCTGCCATCTTGAATAAACACTCTCTGGATGGCTGCAAGCCTGTGGTTAGCTTCCACAATGTTGAAAAAGTTGACTCTGACCATTTTGCCAGTCCTCGATTCTTTCATGGAGGAGAGAAATTTCAGAATCCTTCCTCTGCTATGTCCCAGACATTACCCGCAGACTGGCATTAAACTACATCTGCACACCTTCACTCGGGGGCTTATTGAGACCACTTTTCCTTGGCTGAGTTGTTTATGGATTCCCTTGGTAGGGCCCAGTGAGGTCTGGACTGCCAACCAGGACATCCACACTTTATCTGGCATCTACCACAAGCTAACCATGTGATATAGGAACAAAGGAGCTGACATTTCCACAGCTCCTGCTGGGTGCCAGGTTCTGTGTGCTGGGTGTCTCATCTCTGTTGTAACAGTCAGTCCTGCGACCACCAAGAAAGAAGTAAAGGTCCCATTTTACCGATGAAGAAACTAATAAGATGCAAAGTGCTTAACACTGTGCTGACTCCAAACAAACAAACAACAACAACAACAAAAAAACACCTCACTGCTGTCGAGTCGATCCCAACTCATAGCAACCCCTCCTTGGGATTCCAAGGTGGTATCACTATTGAAGTAGATTGCCCAATCTTCCTTCTGAGGAGTGGCTGGTAGGTTTGAACCGCCAGCCTTCTGGTTAGCAGTCAAATGCCTGAGGCACTATGCCACCAGAGCTCTTAGCAAATACTCAGTAAGCTGAATGTTGTTGTTTTTACTGTTGTCAGAGGAAGAAGTGAAGTTTAAGGGTCATTGCATTTGAACCCTGGTCTGTCTGATTCCAAAGCTCATCCATGTTCTACACCCCCATCCCAGCGCTCCTGGGCATGTCCCTTCCTGCTCCGCTATCCATGAAAGAGTTGAAATGATTGAAATTATTAAATCAAAAAACACTGAGTCATTTAGCTAGGATCCCTTCTGGGGTGACACTGTGGAAGCCTGGCATTCTGTGAGGTCAGTTGCTTGGAGTCGTATTGGTGGCAGTCTCTTATGTGGCTTGAAAAAAATGAGATCACGGCTAGACTGGGAGGTGTGTTAACCGTGTGTGTGCTTCCCTCCCTCTCTCTTCTTCCTCTGTTTCATCCTCTGCAGAAGCAAAAGGGGACAAAGCCAAGTGGCTGTTCACCTGGCCACTCATCTTCCTCCTGTATGTCACCATCCCCAACTGCAGCAAGCCCTCCTGGGAGAAGTTTTTCATGGTCACCTTCGTCATCGCCACACTGTGGATCGCCGTGTTCTCCTACCTGATGGTGTGGCTGGTGAGTGGAAGGAGCAAGGGGTGGACTGTATGGACAGCCCTGCCTGGTGTCTGCCAAGCAGAAGTGGGAGAGCCGGGTTCAAGAGCAACCTCAGGTGTGTGTTGCACCACCTTTGGGCAGATTACTCTGCTGCATCGAGTGAAGGCTCATTTCTTGATAGAAAGGTGTTTCGGTAAAGGCACCTGGCGCTGTGCTATGCACCAGGGATACAAGATGGACACAGCATGGCACTCACCTTGAAGGCAGTCATGAAGGAGGGAGCGTGACCTTCACACAGACAGGAGAATGTCTGAACAAGCAGAGGAAGCAGGGTTGGGTTGGAATGGAATGTGATAGACTCCAAAGTTAATCCAGCCCAGGAAGGGCACCCTGAAATCACCACCCTGGCAGCATGGATGGAGGGAGTAACACAAGAACGCCCAGCAGGTGGCCTGGATGCAGAGTTGAGACCCCATCTGACGCTTTGAAGAGTTTTCTGTAGAGACATGATCGCTAGGCCCCCTTCATTTCCACAGCCCCTGTGGAATGTGGGAGAAGGAGCCTGGAGTCAGTAGGAGATAAAGGTGGTCCCAAGGTGGCTCTTTCCATGGCCCTACTAAGGATGTGCTCCCGTCCCCATTGTATGCACAAGGCACTGGCTTAAGTACTTTATATAAAGCTCTTATACCCATTTTATAGCTAGGGAAGTCCAGGCACGAGATTAAGTAATTTGCCCAACGATACACAATTAGTGAGTGCTAGAATTGGGATTTGAACTCACGGTCATACGGGGACAGATTTAAATCCTAACTCACCACCACTCACGAGACACAAAACCTGGGCAGGTAGCTCCACATCCCTGAGCCACGCTTACCCCTCTGTGTAATGGGCATGCTTTGCTCTCTTACAAGGATTATTAGGAAAATTCATAAAAAGCCTGCCCAGTGCCTGGCACATTATAGACACCCAGGCAATGCCATTTCCTCTCCCCACCCGCCCACCCCCAGTCACCCCTTTACCCTTCCTTCCATAATGCTGTGTGTGTGAACCCAAGCAAACACTGTTAGGATTTTGAATGGTATACGATTCCAGTTGCTGTCAACTTGATTCTGACTCCTGGTGACCTGCTTCAGAGGGCTTTCATGAAGTCTCAGAACCAGATCACCAGGCATCTTCCAAGGCACCTCTAGATGGGTTCAAACCACCAACCGTTGGGTTAGCGGTCAAGTGCTCAACCATTTGCACCACCAAGACCTTCCTAAGTAGCTTAGGGGGGCTGTTTTGCTTCTGAAGTCGAACCCCTTGGCCGGCTCCTTGGCTTAAGAGTGATCCAGGGAGGAGCAGGTACAGCCCAGGGCAACTTCATCAAGCTGGACAGCCTCCTCCTCCCAGCTCTTCCGGACTCCCTGCCTCTTAGAATGTTCTTCCCAGGAGGACTCCCAGAATTCAGGCTGCGGTTGTTTCTTAATGAACAGAATAAGTCATATAACTCAGGTGGGACAGAACCACACTAAGCCACCAGGCCCCCACACCTGGACACCCTGTCCTTGGCTCAGCTAAACTGGGCACATGGGGACACTTTGAACACCTGAATCCTCCAGACCTCTCTGGAAGGACCTCACTCATTGTCCCTCTCAGACTCCTCCCTTCTCCACTCCGTCCATATTATTCCAAACCAGGTTGGGTTTGTCCACACTTACCCAAGCCCAGTTATGGTTGCTTGCTGCAGCCAACAACTGGTTTGGGCTGATTGCCAGGTAATAAGGTCCCTGAGTGGTGCAGTCAGTTTGCACTCTTAACCTCAAGGTTGGTGGTTTGAACCTACCCAGAGGGGCCTTGAAGGGAAGAGCTGGCTATCTGCTTCTGTAAAGATGACAACCAAGAAAACCCTATGGACCAGTTCCACTCGGTAACACGGGGTTTCCGTGAGTCAGAATCAATGCACCAGCAGCAGTCTGGTTGCTTGGTTGTTGGTTTTTCCAGTAGCCACCCAAGAACCTCAGTGAATGTTATGCAGGTCGACCACCGAGCGGTGAGTGATTTCTCACAGAGCCCTTTCTGGGCTGCACTAACTTCAGAGTATGTCACACCCCGTTTCAGTAGACTCTCACATCCCATCTGGTCAGACTTGCAGCAGGGCTGGACTGCTCATAACTAAAATATCAGCCATCTTCACCGTGAGATACCACCAGCACTGCTTCCATGAGTCGAGAGAGAGAGAGAGAGAGAGAGAGAGAGAGAGTGAGAGTGTGTGTGTGTGTTGGAGAAGGGGCTAGAAGTAACTACTACCCAGCACCCCCCCAGAAAAGGATGACAATCTAAGATGATCATAAAAATAACCTGTGCCTTAAAGAAACTGAATTTGCAAACTTAGAGTTTTCTGATTAGAGTTAAAAATTGGCCTGTCTTTACATTTTAAAAAAAGAATGCAATGGTTTCTCTTATTGAAATACACATTCCTGAAACAACTTCAGGAGTAAAAAGTGCTTCACGGCGTTTGAGTAGGTATGAGAATTAGGGAGATGAAAGTAATGAATGTGTGGATTTTTTTCTCCACTAATTACTGAAAATAAAGCATTATTAGATCTCCTCCACTAATTACCAGTGAGGGGAGACATATACGAACCGCCCCACCCCCGCTGCCTTGGCTAACATTGCAGCATACAGTGAGCTTGCTGCAGCACGGGAAACCCAGCTGCTGACCAAACATTCCAGCGGAAAGGCCTTCACGACGTGTTATTAAATGAACGAACAGTTAGAACGAATGTAAATAGGAGTGTCTGATTGCAGTGTTCTAACACACACCAAAAAGGCCCAGGAGATAGGATAAAGCAGTACTTTGCAAATGTGATCCCCAAGCCAGCAGCCTGAGGGGCCCAAGGAACTGACTTCTCAGGAATGCTAGTTCTCAGGCCTCCTGGATCAGACACTGGGCAGGGGCGCCTGGTGGTATGCATGCTAATAAGCCCTGGTGGAGAGATGGTTCGAGATGCTCAGGTCTGAGAGCCACTGGCTGGTCTGAAGATTACTAGTAGTTATCTGTGTAACTGGAGAAATAGTGATTTTTATTTTCATTTTACTTTTCTTTTTTTAAAAAAGTAAACATATTATTCAGGTAATCAGGAAATAAAAGAAAAAAAGAGCACTCAGAAGATGTTTTTAAAATAAACCCACATTCCAGAGGCTTCTGCTGGTGACCACAGTACCAAGTTCAGGTTATACTTGGTAAGCACAGTGTCCGGGAGGCTCCACTGTGAGTTCATGTCTCCCCTTCCCCTTCTGCAGGTGACAATTATTGGCTACACACTTGGGATTCCTGATGTCATCATGGGGATTACTTTCCTGGCAGCAGGCACGAGCGTTCCAGACTGCATGGCCAGCTTGATCGTGGCGAGACAAGGTACGGATCCCGCGTGGGCCCTGCCTGAGTTACACGGTTCCTGACTTCATGACAGGTGGTGGTTAAGTCCTGATATGGAAGTAACTGTGGCATCTGGGATTCCATCTGTGGAGAGATCCCACCAAGATAAACTCCAGACCTCTGCAAGTGTTTACTTGAGTAGAATTCTCTAAAAACAAACAGGTTCTGAAAGTACCGGTCAATGTGAGACGGAACAGATCCTGAGCCCAGACTTGATGGGCTAATGTCAAGAAACGTTCCAATCCCTGGCAGGCAAGGTAGGGGCATCCCTCCCATGGCACTTGGTATTTCTCTACTATGTCAGGTAATTCGTTGCAGTGGCCACACGGAGCTCACAGACAATACTCAATGATTATGGGGCTTATCAGGGAGGTTACAGGTCCCAATTCAGGGTCAGGAACAAGTCAGGATACAGGTCTTTAATCAGGACAGCTACTTCTTAGCCATGATGGCAGGAAGGCCTCTCCCTGGCCCTCAGCCTCTACCCTACTCAGCCAAGTGGTACAAAGCTTGGTAGCTCTGCCAATAAGTGCCCAGAGGCACCCCCACCCTGCCTGGAAGCCTGGGCCCAAGGGTGTCAACTCTCTGTCACCCTGTGGGTTGGCACACCTACTGTAGCTGCCTTGCTTGGTGGGCCAGGAAGCCCCCCGCACTATTTCGCATAGTCTCCTGGTTCTGCTGCTGCCATGCCTCTGCCACTTCTCTCCGCCTTGTGCCATCTCTAGTGTTACAGCTCTCTGTCCTGGGGCTAGGAGGGTCTCAGCACAGACCCAAGGTCCAAAGGATGCACTCCACTCCTGGCTCTTCTTTCTTGGTGGAAGGGAGGTCCCCTTTCTGCTCTGGGATGACTCCTTTTAAGCCTAGCAGGATGACAAAACTGACCAATCCCTTCGTTGGGGTTCCATACACCTCATTTGCATGGTCCCACCCCCACAAGGGTTCCATGCACCTTATTTGCATTTTTAACAAGCTGTTTAATCCCTTTGGTAGGCAATAAGTGCCTTATTTGCATAGTCCTACCCAGTCACTTGATAGGTGTCAGCTGAGGGCAACTGAGGGGAATGAGCTTCAAAAAGAGCACAAGGCCCACCAGTGAGCACCGGGGGCCTGGGTGACATGCAGGGGCATGAACTTGGGTGGGATTCAGCCATCTTTGCTCCAGTGACACACAGCTGAGAGAGAGCAGTTCGCCCAAAGCTAGGTTGACTGGGGACACCATAGAAGGTCAAGGGAGTAAGAGATGTGTAGTTTAGACAACTGACCTTGGAGTCCAGGCTAGTGGGAGAGGGAATAATTGGGTCTGAGGGTCTGATTAATTGGGAGAATTAAGGAAGTTAAGGCCTTGAGATGGGGGTTTTCTGGTGAGGCCAAGGACAGGGCCCTATAAGAATAAGGGAGGAGTGGGGTTCTGTGGGAGGACATTGTTTTGGTTCCCTAGTGCCACTCTGGCAGGAATATACCACAAATGGGATGGCTGAACAAACAGGAGCTTATTCTCTTACAGTTTGGGAGGCTAGAAGTCCAAGTTCAAAGTGCCAGGCTCTAGGGGCTGGGTAAAAGCCCCTCAACCCTGGGCTTCAGCTCTGCCTCTTGCTCCCAGCCCACTGAAGCTAGAGGCATCTCTTCACTCAGACAGCTACTGGCTGCTGAGGCTAACAAGCCCAAGGTCGACAAGTAAAATGGCACAGCCCCAATGTTACCAAACCACATGGCAGGCCATCAATTCAAGTCCATTGAAAGTCCCAAGGTCAGCAGAGCATGGCAGGCTGCTGAACAATGACGTGGCCACATGCAGGGTTCAAGCGTGCCATAAGCTACCATTCCCCAAGGCTTCTCTTCATATATGGGAAGCAGACCATAGCCCTAAGGCAGCTACTCAGCTGCTCACAGTAGATTCTACCATGGAGTTGATGACCAGTCTCATCATGGGGAATACTACATCCAGCAGCCCAGCCACTCCACCAGGCCCAGCCAAGTTGACACACAAACTTCTCCACCACAGACATCATCTTGGAGGGCTGTAGTATAATGCACCAGTAAGGAAACAGAGGCAGGCATTGATGTGATGGACAAAGAATCTAGCAGGCAGGGTCAAAGACAGCCAGTGTCCTTCGCAGGAAGGACATAGAAACTTCTCTTCAGAGTCTGCCACCCAAAGCAGAAGACGGTGCAGCATGTCCTGACGTAAGGTACTGCTTTCTGCAGTTCAAAGATGGTCCCGGTCGGCAACTTCCTCTTCACCTGGGAGCTGGGGAGAAATGCAGAAGCTCAGGCCCCGCCCCAGACTCACTGAATCAGAATCCGCATCCTAATGAGACTCCCGGGGACTCAGTCTAAGAGCTGTCTGTCCTCGGGTTCTCAGATGGCCATGCAGCTGTCAGCAGTACCACCTGGGTAGGGCTCGCTGCCACCTCACATGCCCTGGCATCTGTCCCACTGAGCGCTGCCACTTCACCAGGTGCACACGCTTGTTGTGAGATGCCTCTCAGTTGGCCCGTGACTCAAGGTGCCCCCATGCCCAATGGGATCCAACTGCTGTGCTCCACAGGGTTTCTACTGGTGGAGTTTTTCAGGCATAGATTTCCAGGCCCTTCTTCCTAGTCTGTCTTAGTCTGGAAGTTCCACTGCAGCCTATCCAAGTGCAAGTAGCTGGTCCAAAACAGCGGCCAAGCACATGGCTGCACTGTACAGTGACTGGGAAATGGGAAGGTTGGTGTCCAGAGATCCCGCCGAGCAGCAGGGCTGAGCTGCCAAGATATTGAGGTCACTCAGAACAGTGCCTGGAACTGGCAGGAAGGAAGAAAATAAAGCCAAATGTGAGTGCCTTGAGGGAGGCAATGTATCTGAGAGGGCAGCAGGAGGCAGCAGCGAGAGCAAGAGGAGGGGTGACCAACCTGGGAGGTGGTCAAAGGCAGATGGGCCTCTTGTCCAGGTGCTGGTCTGAGTTGCTGCTGGGCAGCTGAGCCATCAAAGCAATATTATGTTTACAGGCACTTTGCTTTCAGGCTTGTTCATTCCACAGATATTGGTATATGTGCCACCAAACCAAACCCATTGCCATCAAGTCAATCCCATCATAGTGAGTCTATAGGACAGAGTAGACTAGAACTACCCAACAGGGTTTCCAAGGCTGCAAATCTTTATGGAAGCAGATTGCCACATCTTTCTCTTGCAGAGGGACCAGTGGGTTAAAACCACTAACCTCTTGGTTAGCAGCTGATCTCTTAGCCACACCTTAGTACATTCGTGCCAGGTGATGGCACTCCTATAGAATTAGGGCTAAGTGGCCAGGTGGGAACAGGTTGCAGCCAGCATGAATTTTAGTTATATGAGTTGTTTTTTCCCTAACTTACAGTAGCCTTGAATCATTAAGTTCCCCAGATAGTGTGGTTGGTATGATGCTGGACAGTTGGGAGGGGAAAGGAGGGGAGACAGCATGCCCCTAGCATTTCAGATGTTTCTCATCTGGTTGGGGAAAAACAGTTCACTCTTTGGGAATCAGCATGGTTTAAAACCTGATGCAGTCCAAGCCAAGGCTGTGAGGGTCATCACCTGGGCCACAAGGTGCATTGTGGTTTGGTATAAAGGACACTGGACCAGACTTCCTGAGACTGAGTTCCTCGAACTCTGCAACCTCGGGCATGTCCCCAAGCATCTGCCACTTGCGGGTGATGCTCTGTCCCAGAGTTACTGGGAGGATGGAATGAAGAGCATGCAGCAAGTCCTCAGAGAAGATCGGCTGATGAACCTGAGGAGAAACAATGAAGGTCCCCCTTTAGACTTCATGAAGGAAGTGGATCTTAGACCGAAAACAAAACCAGTTGCCATCAAGTCATTTCTAACTCATGGTGACTGTGATTTCAGAGTAGACCTGTGTTCACAGGGTTTTGGTGGTTGTGACGCTCTGGAAACACATCACCAGGCCTTTCTTTCAAGACCCCTCTGGGTAGGTTCAAACTCCCAGGCTTCCAGTGAGTAGCCCAGGGTGTAACCATTTGAACCACCCAGGGACTCCACATGCATCTTAGACCTCACCAGAAGGTTTAAGAAATTTGGGGTCCATGGAGAAAGAATTCCTTTCCAAAGAGTAGCGCTAACAGATTAGTTATATGGGAACATTATAGTGTTTCTGGTGACTGCTCTTGATGAATGAAATGTGTTGGTTATCTCCTCCAGGCCTCGGGGACATGGCGGTCTCTAACACCATAGGAAGCAACGTGTTTGACATCCTCGTAGGGCTTGGCATACCGTGGGGCCTCCAGACCATGGTCATTAATTACGGATCCACAGTAAGTTCCTCTCACCTCTTAAGTAAACAGGATTGATGCCAGATGCATGTGCTTTGTGGTGAACGATGGTGGGTTTGGCCCAGGTCCTACACAGGGATCTGGAGAACATGCCATCCTCTTCTCCTTGGCACCCTGGTATGCACTTTGCTCGAATGCTTCAAGAACAGCCCAAGAAGGTGCCTGTAGGAGGCAGCCCATGCTTGCTGAGCACTTGTCAGTATTCCACCCACTGTCTCAGCCCTCTGCTGTGCTACCCACAATGGGCCAGACTTGGAGTTATGGGCACAGTCCTCCAGACTGCCAAGTCTGCCCACAAGTTTAAACATCAGCCACAGGTTCAGAGATTCCCTGGGCCACCCTTACCTCTGACCAGCTGGCTATAAATTTAGAGGTCTCCATGGATTCTCTCAGGTTTAATAATTTGTTAGAACACCACAAAGCTCTGGAAAGTGCCAGCATTACAGTTATAGCTTTATTTTCACAGAAAGGTAGACTAGAACCAGACAAGGGAAGAAATCCATAGAGCAGAATCAGGACTTGAGAGGGTTCCAAACGTGAGCTTCTGGTATCCTCATGGACACATTCCCATCCCATAATCAACATGTGGGTAACATGTATGGAGTATTGCCAACCCAGGAAGCTCACCCAAGTTTCCCAGAGGTCTTAGGGAGGTTTCATTCCATAAGCAAGATTGATTGGATCATTGCCCATGAGACTGAACTCAGCCTCCAGACCCTCTTTTCTTCCCAGGGGTGGGACTGATACCACGTGGCTCAAAGCCCTTACCCTCTGATCACACGGTCAGTCTTTCTGGCACAGCCAGTCTTCCCATCCTGAGTCATCTCCTTAGCATAAACAATCAGATGTGGTCCAAGGCACCCACCATGAGTAACAAGATACTCCAATCACTTGTGAAATTCCACGGATGAGAGGGTCCGTCCAAGCAACTGAGGATGAAGGCCAGCCCAATTCTTCTTGACACACATGCCTATCCTTGACCCAGGCCATTTCCTCAGAGAGGAAGGCCGAGGTCAGCAGAGTCAAGACTGGAATCCACATTTACCTGACCCTCCAGGGTCATGAACACCTGTGTTTTCTGAATGAAGGGATGGGTACGAGGGAGCGTGCTGGACATTCAGAATGGCTGGGTGCTGAGCAGCCAGGCTCAGGGCATGTGTGTGTGTTTTTCCAGGTGAAGATCAACAGCCGGGGTCTGGTCTATTCAGTGGTGCTGTTGCTGGGCTCTGTCGCTCTCACTGTGAGTTTTTCTGACCCCAAAATAGAAACCTCCCACATGCTGCACTGCATCTGATTCTGCCTAGCCACTTATGTTCCTCTGAACCCACCTCTCACCTCCCCCTGACAATGAGGGGTAAGTGCCACCTAGCCAATTCCAACTCACAGCAACCCTGTAAGACAGAGTAGGACGTCTTTCTTCCATGGAGCACCTGACGGGTTAGAACTTCTGACCTTTTGGTTAGCAGCCAAGGGCTTAACCACTGTGCCACAAGGTCTCCTATAAGCACATACACAGGTCAAAACAGTGGCCCAAGCCAAGGTTTGCTAGGCCATGGGCCAGCAGGAGCAGGAGCAAGGGCCTTGGAAATTTAGCTGAGTTAAAACCAGGATGGGAAGTCAAGGAGGAAAGCGAGCATCCAGAGGAAGATCACTCCTGTCCCTGAAGAAAGCCTGGCCGGGGAGGCGGCAGGCCTACCTGGAGAGGACCCGTCCCAGGAGGGCGCTGTTATGTGTCCCAGGGTCAGCAGGGCTGGGTCCGAGGCTCCCCTTTCATGTAGAGACAGTCCAGGGTCCCAGGGCTTCTTGTGATACCACTGACATGTGCCTGGCACCACCTCTTTCTGCTCTAGTCCACGCCTTAGAGAAAGTGTGGTCCACACTTTAGAGAAAGCTCTGCAGTTCATAATCCGGCAAAAAAAAAAAAAAAAAACTTTCATATTTCTTTGCCCTTGTCTTAGATTCCTAGGGCTTCTGTGGCACAAAAACCACAAGTTAATTTAAGGTGGTTTTAGAGGAATTTATTTTCTCACGGTTCAGGAGGCTAGAAGTCCGAGTTCAGAACATCAGCTCTAGGCGGAGCCCCTGTCTCTGTGTTGGCTCCGGGAGCCTTGTTGCAGGCTGGCATCCCTCAGTTCCTTGGTGACCTTCATGTTGCTCTGTCGGCTCTGCCCGGGCACTTCTCCCCTCTGTCTGGCCCATCCAGCCCAATCCTTATCCCTCAGGTGGGATTAGGTTTAGGACACACCATATTAACATAACAAAGAAAATCCTATTTCCAAATGGGATTACATCCACAGGCATAGAAGTTAGGACACCAACATGTTTCAGAGGGGACACAGTTCAATCCAGAACAGCCCCCAAGCCCAGCTCTTACACTCTCCCCCCAGGTCCTTGGCATCCACCTTAACAAATGGAGACTGGACCGGAAACTGGGGGTCTATGTGCTGGTCCTCTACGCCATCTTCCTGTGCTTCTCGATCATGATAGAGTTCAACGTCTTCACCTTTGTCAACTTGCCCATGTGCCGAGAAGATGACTAAGGCTGAGCCGCCACCCGTGGGGCATGTTCCTGAGACCCTGTGACGCTGGCGTCCTCTTCTCTTGCTCCCTCCCCCACCACGAGTCTTCCCTGCATCCGCAGCCACAGTCTGCCCTTTCATCCACTGGAAGGAAGAGCATCGTGGTCTCTGTCTGGTCTCGGGCCAGACTGCTGGACGTCCTCCTCCTCCCTGGAGTTCCACCCCCAGAGGCAAGATTCGGGGCGGGGACTGGCGCAGCTTGGCAGACCTCCGAGCTGTCGGCCACGGGGATGTGAGCATCTCCTCTCTCACACACTAGAGTCAGAAGGACTTCTGTGTGCAGTTTGTCTTTCTGTTGCAGCCATGAGGCAGCTGGTGATCGTGAGGTCTCCAGGGGCAAGTGCAAAATAGGATTGTTGTCCTCACGAGTGGCCTCTGGGCTAGAGGGGCTGAGTCCTTATGCAGCGTGTGTTGCTGAACGCTTCTGCTACAGGCTCTCACGCACAGAGCAGGCACAGCCTCTCACGCACAGAGCAGGCACAGCCTTGACACGTTAAGGTTTGGGGCGGTGACAGTAGGCATTCCATCCCTTTTTCTGGATAAGTTGGAAGAAGGTATTCTGTCTTTCAGAGTAGAAGAGAGAAAGCAAGTGAATATTCTTATCACTTTTATTGATGCATTCAGAGAATGAGCAATGAAATATTTAAAATAAAATATATCGATCATCTTACTTGAAAAATATCATTCCATTGGGAAGGACCATGGTGGGAACCAAAAAGATGGCACTTGTAGGAAACAAATGTGTGGGTGTCATCTTGCACTGGTGTTAAAACGTTTGGTTTGGGATCTAGAAAATGGTGAACAACAATCTTTTATAAGGGTGCTAACTCAGAGATGCAGTGGGGGTTGTACTTTACAGCTGTCCATCCAGACCCTTCTGTGATGTGAGGCACTGTCACCTTGGGTTTGTCCTTTCTTTCGTAAGGCTCTCCCTAGTCTTAAAACCATGCTGTGCAGAGACCCCATTGTTTATATGCCCAGTAAATTCCATAGCCTGCTGAGCTGGATGGAATGTGCATCATGCAAGAAGAAATGGTTAATGACAAGAAGAGAGATTGCTCTCTGGTGAGCTGATGGTCAGCCTGTGAACCCTAACTTAGAATTTGTAGAGCTTAGTCACTTATAGTTTGCTACCTACAAAAGACCAAGGACAGGAGGCTGATTCAAAAGTAGATAGAAAAGTCTTAAATAATGTTCCACTGCTTTGAAGCTCTAAAATATATATTTAAAAATTTTACCAACAGAAACCATTCATGGTTCCTAAGAAGAAAGCACAATTAATTTTATAGACAGAGCTTTTTATTATAATTTTTAATGTTTAAAATTGTTTTAAATTAAATTTTAATGTTTCTATGGCGAAACTCAATCAGATTTGATGCACTTTTAATATTGGGATATTTTGCATGAAAGAATGTATGGGAACTACCCATGAGGATGTGAGGAGGGAGATTTTAGTAACCCACCAGAACACCATTACTCATGATGGTGTTGGTGTGGGTTTAAATCTAAGAGCTAATCCTTTCCTGAGACACAAGGGTGGGGACCCATGTGGGACCTTGTGTCTGCTCTTTAAGGCCTCCTGAATTTCTAAAGGAGGAAGTGTTCAGTTTGTGTTGCTCCAGTTCCTTTTAGCATGAGCTAAAGATGGGCCCAGGCTCTTATCACTGGCTTCTGTTCAGGTTCCACATCAGTATTAGTAGCTATGCCGTGTTAAGCTTCTCTTTTTGTTTTTCTACCTAGATATTGGGTTCCATGATCTTCAAAGTGAGGACAAGGGGATTTTCCTAAGAAATTAGCTAAGTGGGAGGCCAGGGAGCCTTAGATGCAAAAGGTTTAGATCCTTGGGGACCACGCTTTGCCCTGCTAGTGTAACTCACCTGGTCTCCCCTCTCCCCGACCCCAAGGTGTAGACTAATCCGGGTTTCAGGGTGCTTCTGTCTCCATTTTGATTCTCAAAACTACCTTGTGATATAAAAAGGAATTATTCTCCCCATTTAACAGAAAAGTGGTCAGGTGATCCCAGGTCAGTAATGGCCAGTAAGGAGAACATGGACCATGCTCAGCCATCTACATGGGCTGGTCAGCCTTAGACAGTGGGGCCAGGCCTGTGTCTTTTCTCTGGAGGTAGGTTCTACTGTTTGCATCAAAATCTCATCAACTATCTAATTGTTGCCTGGACTCCCCAAGTCATATTCTAACATATGTTCCTGTCCAGTGTAATTCTTTTAGCTACAAGGCACAGGCCCATGGCCCCGATGAACTTTGGTGAAGCTCTCAGAGAACACATCCCAATTACCCTCTTCTTCCTCGGCAGAATGTATTTGAGGTCACAAAGAATACTGCCATTGGAGTTTGAGAATAGAATATAAAGTTTTTGATATGTAGAGTGCTCCTTATAGCTAATTTTTCTGGGACTTGAATGTGCCAATGTAATTTCCTTGAAAGATCTATGCATTTATTATGGAGGAACCAATATATAGACACTGTAGGTGAAGGATATTCTTTTATAACTAAATATTTTTCCATCATGAGTTTAAAGAATTGCTTGATTAATTAGGCCTTCATTTTTAAATAATGCTTCCATCTCAACAAAGGATCACTTCCTTTATTTTCATCCTGAAGGTAATGGGGTAATTACTCTGCTACAATGCTAGGCAATTACAAAAATAAATTTAGCTCTTCTAATTGGGGGCAGAAAAGATACTGGAGCCGTTGCCCTCAGATAGAAAGTGTGTGGAAAAGCGGAAGCAGGTGGTTCCTAGTCATACCTGGTTTGGAGTGGTCTCTTACCAGCCCACGCATGCATAGGGTGGGAGGTGTGTGGTCTGAGAACCTGGCTGCAGGGAGGGTTCTGAGTTAGCTGCAGGGAGACACTCCTGGTTATGGGTACCATGGGCAGGTCCCAGTAGGCCCTGTGTTCTCTCCCTTTCCCCAGCCTTGCTGTAACCCACCCCTAAGGTCTGCTGCTTCTGGACCTCTTCCCCTTGTCACCGCTCTCCACCTTGTACATAAAACTGCCCCTGTGAGTTTTCACCTGTTCATGACACCTCACCTGTTAGGGCTCTTGCTTTTCTCCCTCTCAGTCCTCTGCTTTCACAGATCCAAGCAGCTGATAGGGCATGAACCCCCAAAAAACCAAAGTGGTTGTTGTCAGTACATTTCAACTCATGGTGACCCCATGTGTTACAAAGTAGATCTGTTCCATCAAAAAGCAAATCCACTGCCATCGAGTCAGTTCCTATAGAGCCTATAGGACAGAGTAGAACAGCCTCACAGGGTTTCCTGTGCTTTACAGAAACAGACTGCCACATCTTTCTTCTACGGAGTGGCTGGTGGATTCAAATTGCTGACCTTTTTGTTAGCAGCCAAGCGCTTAACCACTGTACCACCAGGCTTTTTTAGCCCTCTCTGAAAAACCAAAGCCCAGTTGCTGTTGAGTTGATTCCAACTCATGGTGAGCCCGTGTGTCTCAGAGTAGAACTCGAGTCTCCGTGGGTTTTCAACGGCTGGGATCTTTTAGAAATAGAACCTCAGGCCTTTCTTCCAAGGTGCCTGTGAAGCCCCTCTGGATGGATTTGAACCACCACTGTTTCAGTCAAGAACAACCATACCAAAGGGCAGTACTGCAGACCCCCACCCTAGACCCCTCCTGGGATGCCCAGGGTCCAAGGCCCATGGGAAGATGCTACCTGCACATCTCTATGTTGTTGTTGTTGTTATGTGCCGTCGAGTCAGACCCGACTCATAGCGACCCCTCCTTGGGTTTCCGAGGCAGTATCACTACGGAAGTAGATATGACTTGCAAACCAAGAAGCATCACCAGGAGCCCAGTTACCTCAACAGGGTGGTAGTTGGGTAAGGGTGTGGGTACCATCCTAGCCTACACTCTTCTTTCCTCTTTTCTCTTCCCTGCATCCTAGGCCCCCCTCTCCTGTCCCCTAGATGGGGAAAGACATAGGCAAGATGGACCGGGAGAGGACCATGCTATTTTCCCAACAGGCCCTTAACCCTGGGGGAAAGCGAGCGAGAATCCCAGCGTCCTTGTAGGAGCTCCAAGGCTGGAGCTACTTCCCATACCCTTCCCTTCTTCCCCGGGAGAGAAAGGAGCTGACAGGCTTGAGGTCTGGGGACAGTGGGGCTTACGTTTCCACATTTGGGAGTTTTTCCACTGGGCATCAGCAGGAGAGAGGCATAGCCGTTTTCCCTGGGCTGGTGTTAGCTCAGTGACCCATGTGTTCTGGAGGGCCTGTTCCTTTCCCATCGGCCCTGACTGCACACTGAGGAAAGGGCCTGTCCTGTTCTCTCCATACTCCATGCCTGCTCTCCTGCACTTGCTATTACTGCGCGTGGGATAGGCTCTCAGCAAATGCTTTGCTTTGAATACACAAAGAGCGTGCCTGTTAGGGTGAAAGCCTTCAGGAGATCACCCCTGTCTGCCATGGGTGAGATACCCACTCATCCATCTGATGTCTTCCATCCCAGATTTCTGCATGGAGTCTCCCTCCCTTGGGGACAGTTAGCAGCTGTGGCTGGGCACCTGAGATGGGCCACATCTCGCAGCGTCAGCATCTCTTTATGCCCATATAAACTCCTGAAAATGAGCTCTGGGTGGCAGAAAGCCCACCATCCCCCACCTACCCAGCTCCCAGAGTGCTGCCTCCCTGTCCTTGGCCGCCCTCTCTCTTGTGAGCTCTCCCGAAGTGCATCTGGGCACCCTTGCCAGGCAAGCACATTTGCTGTCAAGCTTTTCTGGTCTCTGCAGCTGATCCTGGGAGCCCCTCAAGATGAAGCATGGAGAAGGGGCCTCTGGGCACTCTTGTCAGTCTTTCCAATGGATCAGACCCTTAGGCGGTAAAATAAGAGTGAGAGGTATCATCTCCGTGGCCCACCCTGCAAGGCAGAGACCTCGGGCAGGCTGGGCACGCAACCTTTAACAACCAGGGTGAGGGCATCTTTGCCTT